ACAACTCCCCTCCCCCCCCCACCAACACCACCCCCCCCCCCCCCCCCCCCTCGCCCCCCACCCCCCGGGGGGCCCGCCCCCCCCCCCCGGGGGGGGGGGGGGGCGGGGGGCACTACGCATCTCAACAATTTGAGATCTTCTGTAGATCCCAAAATGCCTAGGTATGTAGGGCAAGTAAAGTGTCCCTACTGATGCCCTGTCTAGTGACAGATAAGTAATGAAGTTTTCCACATATATACAATTACTTCACAAATATACGAACTTACATATACGAGAAACATGAGAGAATTTAATCGTTACAGCAAACATCATATACGTACGTATCTGGGTATTCACACACATATATATATATATTCAAACCGCGTCAAGTTACACCCTATCTGCCCTTATGTCCTCAGATTAGGGGCCCAGTGTAATACGAATATGGAGAACCGGGCAATATAGATAAGTATAAACAATTCAGTATATGACGCCGGTTTTGTTTGTTGTTAATTAAAGGGGGGGTTCCCTGAGTTAACTACTATTACAAAGGACCCGCTGGGATAATTAGACATTAACATGGATTCTTCCTCTCTCCAGCTTCCCCAAATCTCCAGTTTGGGGGAGTCTACTCGAGCGAGGGATCTTTGTGAGCCTTGTGGGTCGAATAGATCCCCAAGCTGCATGTCGGCGAAACCAAGCAGGAGTCAACTTCCCTCCAGACTCGAGACGGCCCTTTTATACCCCTGTCTGCAAGCCGGGACCCTGGCTGCATTTGTGCAGCAATCCAATCAACGCTGGTCCATCAACCGTAACTGATTCGAGCTGCGGACGTCTTCCAGTCTAGACCCGACTGGAGACCCCGAACCCTTCTCACTAGCGATCCACCCCAAAGTAGTCTAGTACTAGTAACATAAGGAAGATAATCATCGTGGTGGCTGTCACGGTTTACTACGCCGGAAACCACGCCTCGAATTGTTCCCCGGGACGCCCACCACGCACACGCTGAATATGCTATACCAACCAACTTTCTAGCATATACGTGTGTATCTAGGTAGTATGTTTTCGTCTGTGTACCACGTTTCCCCCAGACTGGGATGAAGGGTCCACGACCAACCTGGTAGACCTTGCAGGGGGGTGCATTCATATCGTAGTATACAGTTTATGGGTTGCTTCCCGTCAATACCCTACCAGTCGGTACAGCTATATAATATCTGGCAAATACTCCCCAATCCTACCGTTCCTATGTTTTCGTTTCCTTGCCATCCCCGTCCAAGACGCGCCGCCTTCCGTCATTACTTCATCCGGCGATCCAAGCCTTGGATCGTGACAGCTTCACCTTTACTTGTATAGCGAGCAAGCCAGTACGGGAGGAGAAGGAATAGGAACATAACCAAAAAAAAAAAAAAATGGCTGGAGGTGTCGTCGTCACAGGCACCACTGACGTGGGCCGTGTTGAGGCCCCTGTTACCATCAAGGCCTATCTGATCTGTGCCTTTGCGGCCTTTGGTGGTATCTTTTTCGGCTATGATACCGGTATGCCCCAAGTCTCGAAAACGCAACCCACATTTTCAGGCACTAATCGGTTATATGTATATAGGTTGGATGGGTGGTGTGCTGGCCATGCCATACTTCATCTCTCTGTACACTGGAATCCCTTACGATTATAACGTCGTAAATGACGATGGCACGATCGGTGCCCCTATCGGCGCTAACAAGTCAGCTTTCGTCCTTCCCTCTTCCACACAGTCTCTATTCACATCTATCCTGTCATGCGGAACCTTCTTCGGTGCTCTTGTCGGTGGTGATATTGCGGACTTCATCGGTCGACGTCCTACCATCATTGTGGGATGCTTTGTCTTTACTATTGGCTGCATCTTGCAGATTTCTAGCAGCAATCAAGAGGTTCTCTTCGTCTTTGGTCGCCTAATCGCTGGTGGTGGCGTTGGATTTATATCTGCTGTTGTTATCCTATATATGTCTGAGATTGCCCCCAAGAAAGTTCGTGGTGCTATGGTCAGTGGTTACCAATTCTGTATTACGATAGGCATCCTTTTGGCCAACTGTGTCGTTTACGCCACGCAATCACGGCCAGATTCGGGTTCTTACAGGATTCCCATCGGCGTCCAATTCCTTTGGGCTATTATCCTTGGTACCGGTTTATTTATCCTTCCCGAATCTCCGCGTTACTTCGTCAAGAAGGGGAAGATCGAGGAGGCCGCTAAAGCGCTTGCGTTCGTCCGTGGTCAGCCTTTAGAATCCGACTATGTCAGGGACGAACTGGCAGAAATCGTTGCCAATAACGAATTCGAGATGCAACATATTCCTCAGACTTCCTACGTTGGTTCTTGGACTGCTTGTTTTAAGGGTTCCCTTGCGCATGGTAATAGCAGTCTTCGACGAACCATCCTCGGCGCTGGTCTCCAGTGCATGCAGCAATGCACCGGTATCAACTTCATCTTCTACTTCGGCCCTCCATTTCTTAAGGTAAGTTTAGTGCCCATATGCTTTCAGCACTTATCTTTGACTAACATCTCGTGAAGCAACTAGGAACGATAAAAAATCCCTTTCTCATTTCGCTCGTTACGACGCTCGTCAACGTTTTGTCAACACCTATCTCGTTCTACACCATTGAGAAATTCGGACGTCGTGCCCTTCTGCTTACTGGTGCTATCGGCATGATCATCTCTCAATTCATCGTTGGTGCCGTCGGTGTCACCCAGGGACGAGAGGAGGTTCACAACGACGCTGCTGTCCAAGCCATGATCGCCTTTATCTGCATTAACATTGCCTTCTTCGCCACAACGTGGGGACCAACGGCCTGGGTTGTAGTTGGCGAGGTTTTCCCATTACCCATACGATCTCGTGGTGTTGGTATCTCCACCGCGTCCAATTGGTTCTGGAATACCATCATCGCCGTCATCACACCTTACCTAGTTGGTGCAGATGAGGCCAATCTAGGACCAAAGGTTTTCTTCCTATGGGGTTAGTTACTCTCGTCCATCTATTTGTTTTTCATCCTTTTGGGCATACAATGCTAACAATTAATGTTTTTACGCAGGATCTCTATGCTGCCTTTCCCTGACGTTCGCCTATTTCCTCGTACCTGAGCTCAAGGGTCTATCTCTTGAGCAGGCCGATATGTGTATGCAGGAAGTCAGCCCCCGCCATTCAGCCAAGTGGAAGCCGAGCCACACCTTTGCTGCAGAGATGCACCATGTAGAGGACAATGCGGCCCTTGTTGGAGATACTATCGAGGAGAAGGTGTAGAGGACCCCTTCTGGCAAAGGGCGTGCTTTATCGTCGTTACTGTGGAAGGGGAGCGTGGCTCGTATATTTCTAAAGAAGAAACACAGATATATCAGCCGTATTTCTTAGATTTAGACTATATAAAATACCTGGGCCGGGGGTGGGCATTCGATCCGCGGCTCACCCACAAGATGTAATTACAATATGATACCTCGCAAATGAGACATCTACAAATTTCTTCCAGAGACTTATATTGATACTATCAGTATAGTTATTATACATACCCCGGTATCTTTAAGAAATGAGCATTCATACTGTATCAAAAAAAAACAAAAAAAAAACAAAAAAACAGGGGGTTTCGTGAGTTGGTTGTGTATTGAAGAAGATATGCACTCATCGTCGGTCTTAGTTAATTCACGATATTTAGTATATTGTATGGGGGCCGTTAAGTAAATGAACGGGATAGAAACTTATCAAATAAAACATACCTAGTTACCCAAAAGTGATACATTATCTACATATATATGTGTATTTGGGCATCTCCCGGCCGCCGGCGTTGTCGTCAATCCGATATAAATAAGTCTTAAGATAGATAATGTGAAGAGCTACAGCTGGCAGTACCTTAGCGACTTTTCTAAGACGATTAGGCCCCTACTATTAATGATAGCGGGGTTTAGTGCCCCATCTGTAAGGCTGGAAAGCATCCATTAGACTTTTCTCGGGGGTGAACTAAGGGAAAAGTGTATATAGGTGGGAAGGAGAGCTGAGACATGTATACAGTTTTTAAATTTTACGGTGTCGCTGTAGTATGACCACCCTGGGTTGTATATATCCATTCCTATATTATTGAGGCGGGAAGGTCCTATCAGATGAGTAGATGAAATGGCGGGAACCCCCACGTGGTTAGGTTGGATTCTTAGTGCGGGGTGTGGCGGCGCCCCACTTGGACTCGGCCAGGTACATACTAGGTACATGCACGCAAATATGTACATGTTAAGATGTAGCTTGCCGTGACGTAGTCACGGCTGCCTGCTTTACGACTTTGAAATAATAGAATTTAATATCCTAACTTGATATATAATTTACAGAAGCAAACGCCCGAAACATCATAATATTTACGCCGAAAGGATCGCGTTTCATTTCCCCCACTTGACCTTCGACCAAATTCTCACTATGGAGAAGAAAACATGGGTCGTTTTGGGTATGTAATGGTTCTAAACATTGGCAATATTTGTCAGATATTACACAGGACATATGGAACTTACTAATGGTCTGTGATAGAGAATAATCCTGAAGTGATGAACCAATTGGCGGCAAGGCTAGGGTTATCATCTGAATTATCCTTCTACGACGTCTGGTCGCTTGATGAACCTGAACTGATAGCCCATATTCCCCGTCCGGCCTTTGCCCTACTTGTTATCTTACCCCTCACTCCTGCTTGGAAGGAGAATCGACAAGCCGAGGACGTTGAAAAGGATGATTATGACGGATATGGACCCGAAGAACCTGTAATATGGTTCAGGCAGACCATTGGGAACGCCTGCGGTTCTATCGGGCTCCTTCACTGTGCCATCAATGGCCCAGCTGCCGAGCATATCCAACCAGGCTCCGACCTGGAAAAAATCCGCCGTGATGCTATTCCTCTAAAGATGACAGAGCGGGCCGACCTGCTATATAATAGTGTCCCCTTCGAGGAAGCTCATAAATCCTGTGTCCATCTGGGAGACACGGCTCCTAGAAACGAAGGCGCCCTAGGCCAGCATTTTGTGGCATTTGTCAAAGCCAATGGCAGACTTTGGGAACTCGAGGGGTCACGGAAGGGGCCGATCGACCGCGGTTCACTCAAAGACGATGAAGATGTCCTGAGTTCGAAGGCGCTTGATTTGGGGATCGGAAGAGTGATCCGTCTTGATCAGGAGGCGGGAGGCGCGGATCTACGATTTAGCTGTATTGCCTTGTCCCGTAAGGCTTGAATGTCTCCCTAGAAGATAGGAGACTACATCATTCGTTGAGTGTCGTATACGAAACGTTTGTGGTTCTAAATTCGTCGAATTTATACTTATTAATACCCGAATTTCTTCAATGATATGGAGTACTCAACTCTCGGGTAGGTTTAACATCACTGCCTAGGTAGGATAATATAGCCACCTTTAATACTGGCTTGTCTAAAGTTAGATGATATTTTGTTTTCGTTTGCACTTACGAACCCAGTGGATTGAATGGGTTCCAAGATTTCTCTGCCATATCTGTCTTTTCCTATCATTTAAGACCCTCCGCCCTTTCATCGCGGCGTAATACGCGGGCAGCCAGGGTTATGAATCCGAGAAACCCTGCTTCACCTAATGACCATTAAGCGATGTAGTCATTGTTATAGTAGAAAACTACAGCTAACCTGGTTCTTCATGGTAGGGCCAATGCTGAGAAAGGGGGTCGGAGGAATTATTAGAGTTCACTCTTTTCCTAGCTATCGTTGTCTCGACTGGATATTACTGCTTGGTTAAGTTGGAATATTTGGTGTAGTAGAGGGTTTGCTTGCGTCGGGTTTCTAGGTCATGCTGAACTCTGATGCGCGATGTCCTCACCCGTTAGCCGCTGGTTAGGGGATACGGGATTGGTTAGGAGACTTATGTTTCTATGGGGACAGAACTCCTATGAAATGAAACGGACTGGTAGACTTATTTCAAGCTAGACCGTTTCTAGATATATTCTTTTGGTACAGAGACTCATTGGTAAGAGATAAGGGTATAATCTTTGTGGAGAGATGTATGACTATTAAGATGATATTCAAGACATCTGTAGCAGTGTTCGTCCTACGGAGATCAACAAGGAGATTACACCGCTCATCTGAGCGGTCGTATCTGAACCTGGACTTGGGGAGTAGAACACGTGGGATAAGCGGTCTGGCTCTTTAGTGGAATAGAAGTGTAGTCGGGATGTCGTCGCCCGGGCTCGGCTGCGGCTCAAGCGAGTGTGACTCAAAAAGGAGAAGATCATCGATAGATCATCTGTTGCTCGAGAATGGAATTCTCCAATGAAGTATTCCAGTGAAGCTCAGCTGAGTGCTTGGTTGCATATGACCTCGGCCGACGAGACGTAATTGAATATTATGGTAGATAACTCAGGGGTCTAGGCCAATCTAGTGGCGTTCGTCAGGACTACGTAATATTTATGTCATTGTCTCCGATGTATGGGTGTCTTGCGCCCCGGCTACAATGTTGCGTAAATAAATATACGTTGCATAGTATAGGGGGGAGGGTCTTTGAAGAAAAATCTAGAATAAAAATAGACTTTCGAGGGTTGCTGAATTCGTTCTTTTATCTACCTTCTAGTTATTTCTCGGTGAAGAATGCACACCGGAAAAGGAGGGGCTCACTTGCTCTTTTCCCCGTCTAATCCCCCCACATTTCTCTTACTACGTTTCCAGGTACGCATGCTCGGAGACGTTAGCGCAGGAGGTAGCCCCTCTTTCTCCTGTTCCTTTCCCCAACCCTTCCGCTGATTATACCATTAGGTACCTACCTACCTACCTAGGTAGTAGCTAACCTGCTAACCCGACTTTAGTATAGTTGGGGATAGCGGGACGGCGGGATGAGCTAAGGCAGGAGATATGGGGGGTACCTACACGAATATACTGATGTACCTAGGTAACTAACCTTAGGTAAGGCACCTACGGGTAGGCACATTACTGTATGCATGGATGGTTAGAAGGTATCGTTAGGCAGGTAGGAGGGTAAGTCAGGTAGGTACCTAAATCATCACCTAAATCTTTTTTTTTTCTTTTATGTTTTCTGTTTCGCAAGCCTCTCTTCCTCCCACCCCTCACTTTTGCAATGGTCCGCTTTACCTATCTACAGGACTACTCCCCCCCGTTCTCCTCTCCCCTGCTTTAATTTACTGGTGTGCTTCCTTTTTATTATTGCTATATTATTAATCTTGTTCCGATCTTGGTATCCACCTCACAGCTGGGGCCGCATACATTATGTACCTACACTACGTGCTGTATCTTTGATTCTACCCGTGACCTCTTTTACATACTTCACAGCCCCAATCAGACTCTCTGTCACAAATCAACCCAGCTCATAAGCTACCTGGTTATCCGGGACTGACTTGTCATTGAGCACAGGCTTGACGAACGTCGGTTGTTTTTTTCAGGTTTCTGCTGTCTGTCTCCATCTTATATCTTGTGAATCATCGGCAACGTGCAGCATGACGTCGAGCCTAGCTTTCTTTACCGGCAGCCAAGCCTGTCCGTTCGTCGACGACACTTAACCCTTTTTTGACGCTTCCCTCACGATGGCTTCTGAGTGGGCACCGCTGTCCAGCTCAACTCCTGTGGACCTTGCGACAGGCTTCTGCACCCGGCACTACCGCAAGGCGCCCTCATTTTTAAAGGCCAGGTTCGCATGAAACCGTCGCCTTCGCGGAACCGGCGCGGAAATGCTACTGGAAAACCCCAGTGGGTTGCGAGCGCAAAATGCGGTTCCTATATTTATTCTCTATATTAGAATGCACACGTGGTAACTTGACAGATGAGAGATAGACGAGGTAGCGGGTAGGTATGGTAGGTACTGTACAGTGTTCACAATGGCTGGGCGGGTTGAAGCATCGATGGCCTGCTACCTAGCCTGTAGCCCTCGCCTCAGCCCCTGAAGTTTTTCTTTTTTTTTCTTTTTCTTTTTTTCCGTCCTAGGTATTCCTTATGGATTATCCCTCGCAAGTGCAGCCACACTCAATTGTGCCCCCATTTCTAGCCAGCATCGTGGCATCAACCACTATAAAAATTCCACAGCACCCTTGAGTGCCGATGGGGTCGTATGAGTGGCGAACAACACGCTTCGCTACACTTGACACCGTCGTAGAATTGGTACCTAATCTCGCGCAAGAGAGTGACAATGAGTGAGATAGAAATACAGACAGAAAGCATACCTTTTCACCCACGAGCGCCCGTTTCAAAAATAAAAAATAAAAAAATAAAAAAGAGGACAGAGCCCTATAGTCCCTTCCTTTGGTGAGGCGGCCAGCGGAGTCGGGCATTTCCTCCGTGAGAGCGCCCTCCACAGTCATCAAAACATTGTGTTTTTTGCTTGTCTTTGCCCAAAAGTCTCCAAAAAAATTACAAAACCTCAATTGTCTTTGCCCTCGTGCCATCCTGAAGATCCCTTCTTACGTGACACTCGCTGGTAGAGCAGAATTTATGAACCAAGGCCGGCCCGTCACCAACATCCCAGTCCATCCAGGGTCCCTAGATATCCGACCTCACACTTCCGTCACTCAAACGCGTTTACGGCCCGGCCCGGCGACCGCCCCTTCAGTTCTAGACGGCAAGTATACTGCACCTTGATCTGCATCAACTCTCTCTTTCGGACTCGCGCTTCTTTTGGGGGATGATTGTACTTGGGCGCAATCTTACTACTGATCTCCGTGCTGTCTGTCATGTGCTCGGTCGATAGAATACTTTCTCGATCGACCTCGATCCTCATCCCCGTATCCTCCTGTTGTCCCCTTATTGATTACAGAGGATGAATCCCGAGAGTAACTCGAACAACTCGAGTTCAGCTGGTCCGGCGACGCCCTCCAACAGCAGAAAGGAGCGGGGTGCGATAGCAGCCCAGGTATTCCATCTTTCCCATTCTTCGTCGTATTCATTTAACAACCCACATAGGCTTGTGAATCTTGCAGACAACGCAAACAAAGATGTAGTGAAGAGAGACCGAAATGCGCTACTTGTCAGGTCAGTACTTGGTATCCCTTTATTTCCACCTGGTCCTGGAGGCCGCCCTCGGGACGGAATAACATTGTTGTCGTATAGTTCTTGTCTGGCTCCTCAACCGAGAAACAACCCCGTCCCCTTTCGAGTGTCTCGTTGGACTGCAAGGTAGACATGATGACTAACACTGAGATATGGCATAGCGAATGAATGTAAGGATAGCTATTTTTCGCCTATGCTCTGTCTCTTACTAACCCCCCCAATCCTTCAGCTGGAATGCAAATATCGAGAACCTCAACCCACGAAGTACGTATCGTTCCGAACGCAACTTGAACCATCATCGGATGCGCTCGACGCAGAATCCAAACCGAATGGCGTTGCGCAGCTACGTGCCGAGACACACTGACAAGTTGCAGGAAAGATAAGACCCTTATTGAGATATTAGAACGACTGAAAAGCCTCGAGGGAGGGCTGAGAAATCTTGATGGGAAGGTCGATAGCCTCAATGTCCGAGGCACGTTGCCCCTGTCTATTTATGGCCCTATCCAATCCAATCCCCCTCCTGCGGCGCTAGATGCTAGCCGGTCTAGTGCGTGGCCTCCTCCAAGCGTCCCTCTTCAACCCCCGGCAATCTCCCCAGCATCACCCCAGGATGTTCAGTATGTCTCTGCTACTCATAAAATGCTATCATGGCCCGTCGTACAGCAGGTTCTCGAGAGCAAAGTCCCGGGCCTCGACCTCGCCAGTTTGGAAAAGGATGGAGCGGCTATGTTGTTAGGGTTACAGGGTAGAGCAACGTCCCTACCAACTAACATATACGAATCCCTTCACATCGGCACGGAGGGAACGTCGTTGCCCATGCAAGTTACAACGAGCCAAATCGACGGACTGCAGACAGGAGGCCTGAGCTGGGAAACGATGCAGCGGCTTACTAAATCGTATTTCGACACGTTCAATTTAATCTATCCGATTATGGATCGGCAAGCATTCCAATCCGAAATCATACCCACTATTGCGAGTCGCGGCCTTGATGAAAGTAGCTCTTCGACGTTAGCGTGCTTGGTATTTGCTCTGGGCGAAGTCGCCATCAACGCCGTACAGGGCGCTCCTATCAGGGTAAGTCAAGTTCAGAGCGTGCCCCTTGTGATTTTCCTCTGCCGGTCTTATCAGCGGTGCACTGAGAAGCTTATAATGTACCTCTAGACAAGAATAGCTGATCCAATACCTACAGATACACAAGGGCCGTAATAGCGGTGTTAGGGGAGGGACTATAGAAAGACCGCCAGGATTACAGTTCTTCAACGAGGCTAGAAGACGAATGGGGTTCAATTTGACTGAATGTAGTCTGGAAAATGTGCAGATATTCGCATTGGCTGCGTGAGTATCCTTCTAACTATAACCGCCGTGCTATACCTAATAAGTTTTCATGTTTAGCATTTACTACGGGACATGTTGCCATCATCTAGTAAGTAAAACTTCTTCCAGATAAACTCTTAAGTACTAACACGTCTAGGAATTTTGGCGTATGAATACATCGGCGTCATTAGCATGCCAAGCGCTATTAACGAGGTATGTGTTAAGGAGACAGCAGACTAGGGCCATATTGACATGGCCTTTAGTAATCCGGAAGAACTGACAACTCACCGAGGCGATTTGGTTCGAAGAGCTTTTTGGCACTGCTCTATTATGGAGACGTACGTCGCCAACCTTGCTTCACCATATCCAGTCACTTAGGCTAACTAGGATCTAGGTGCTTGAACATGGAACTGAACATCCCTCGGACTGGGCTTGATAAATTAGAGTCGCTGGTTGGGCTTCCCGATTTTAGCGGCTCTTTTTCCGAGGAGGATTATGTCGGGAACCAGGCATCTCACTTTCAAGAGCACTTTGCGTCACAGATAGTACTTCGGCGGCTGTCTGTGGAGTTTCATACTACATTGACCAACGGTAAGCGGTATTTTTCAGTCTTGTAGACCCGGGATGTGCGTACGATTATTCTAGGGCGATCAAGGGGATCGAGATGTTTTGTTGAACTTTAGGGGGAGAAATGACTGACTCAGTGCGCAAAGCTTTCGGACCAACACACGTTCCGGTCGAAGCTTCAATGTCCCCGTCGGCTGTTATGATGAAGCAGATGGCTGCGCAGCTGGACCAATGGAGAGGGTTGCTACCCGTTTATCTGCGTTGGGAGGAAGAGAACCCGGGTGCTTTCCCAAACCCTACCGGAGAGTTATATGACGATCAGTCGATGTACCCACCACCTATCCCAGACCTCCATACGAATTTTATGTTCACGGCCGACCTAGATAACACTCCAGTAAGTTATCCTTACGCCGCAGACATACAAGCAGCCAGCCTCAGGACACGATATTATTACGTTAAGTATATTATTTATAGGCCGTTCGTCTTCAAGGCCCTGCACCATCCAGAGCAGGTTACACGGGATGACGCGGAGGCGATCGCGGAATGCCTCAAAGCTATGCTGAAATGGCCGATTACAATGTCGCCTACCTGCTTCCACAAGAGATTAATCCCGTGCTTATTTTTCTGGTCGCAAAACCTCCTTGGTGTCCTCCTTGTATTGCATCTAACACAACAAGTACCGATCCTAATGCGGATAAGGGCGTCACTGATGGGGACTAAATTTGATCAGGATGCTAGCGAAACAGTCATGCTATGTATCGACTGGATAAGGGACCTTAAAGATACGGATGCGACTGCTTTATGGTGCTGGGAGATTGTAAAGGGTATCTACGCTCTAGGGGATGATACGTGATCCGACGGTTTCTTCCCCAACCCCTTTTTGTCTTCAGATTGGTTTTTTTTTTTTTTTTTTTTGGATCGGCGGGTTTCTTGGGTTATATCACGGGGCATATAGCAACAGCAATTTGGAACCAGCTGAGAGCTTCATGAACTGGACCTACTATTAGTTAGGGAATCATCATATATTATTGAGGATTACTGGCGCTGGGGGCTTGTGTGCCATAGGAGATTCTAACAAAGTATGTACGGGTGAATATGCGCATTGCAGGCGAAAGAACGAAGATCGTCTGGGTTCGAAGAATATCGCACTAAATCATGTGTCTGACTTGTATCTGCCAATTGACTGTTATGTTGTCGGGACCTGGCTACATTACCCTCGACCTCATTCCTTGCTTGCGCCACCGGAAGATGTCATCCTATTGGTACTGAGTAACGGAATGAAATACTCATGATTTTGATTGCCCCCTATAACTTGTACTAAGTGGTCAGGATGGAACATGATACTAGGCACAAGCGTCCTTGCTTCCATCCAACGAGATGATCAGTAAATCGTACGACTACGAGGTAACGATGGGAGTTTAGAGATATGAAATCGGGGACAGTTTTCGGAAAGGCCGCCGAAGACGAAAACGTCCTAAATTGGAATCAAAGGGCCACCACGTCCAGCTAATTTGGGTTGCCCTTAGTCCTAGGACCGTTTGTCTTGTGAAAGCATATCAACAACTATAGGCTAGGAACATGTGAGTGATTTATCTATGAAGCCGCGATTGCCCAAGTCTACTCTAAGGCCTGGTAGACGAAGTAGGTAGCACTACTAACTCCTGCGTAACCTAGAGCAAACACTGACCTCGCTGGCATAAGTACGGAATATCCACTACTAGCGTCCTGGCCGCGCTAGCTTCGCCCTCGGTCTTTAACATATAACATTCTATCAACGACGTTACATAGTTGCTCCCTGAGGGCAATTCCAGGAATCGCAACGGACATGTTTGGTGGGTTCGCGTGATCTTAACCCACATTACAGGTGGCAAATCCTAGTCATCCCAAGAGACTATCGGCTCCTGCGAGTAGGAATAGATCTCATTCGGTATTGTTAGGCGAGATGCCCAACAGGGAAAGTAATTTGAGTCTCAGCCTCCGGTCCCGAAGGTGTAGATGGCGGACTCGGATCCCCACATAAGGACCTGGAGGTGCTTGCTGGGCATCTACTCGTGGGTGTATGAAGTTATATCCACTTGACACGTATATGAATATGTAGGTATCGGGTGGGGGGTCAATGGTGTTGAGCCGTGAAGACGCGATAAAACCCAAACAGAATCAGGTACCGCTGAAGCTATTTGTCAAAACCGCCCACTACGGAGCAACAATCAATAATCGACAGGGAGCTATGTATGATGTACTGGCCCGCGTAGACATCCGGGCATACTATGTAACTGCTCGGTAAGGTCTGGGTATGGCGGTCATCGGAAGTGTGCTGAGGAACGACTGGCTTGGCTGTGACCTGTCAGAATCGCAAAGGCCTAGAAACCAGGAGAACTAGGCGGTAAGTGTTGCACTGCATTGAGGCGTCTGTCGGATTTTTATTAGAAACTTCTTATGAAGGGTATCGCACGCGCCTTCTCGCGTACCATGCAATACTATTGTGGATGCTATATCGTGGCCTAATAAGTCTGACGTCGGGCATCGAGCGAGCGAGCAAGGCAAGGCAAGGACTAAATAACTGGATATACAATCGAAAGAGAGAAACATGGAATTACCAGTAAACGGCAACGCGCGTGTATGGGTGCGCCTTTTTTTTTTTCTTTGTTCCTCTCTTCTTTCTCTGTCCTTTGGTCGAGATAATAATGAGACAAGAATATAGTAACATAAAGAGAGAGATCAGACGAGCGCTTTGACAAAGACGAAACTCAAATTTGCGCTTTGACGCTTGTACTCGGTCTATTCGGGGATCCATAGTGAGATCGATTACGTCTAAGCGCGCGTCGGAAGAAAATCAACAATAAAATACATATTTATGTACCAGAGATATCTCCATACAGCATGTACGTGTGTGTATGTAGGTATATTCGACATATACTTTGTATGTACGGAAATACCTATGAGGTACATATTTATAGTCTGCATTATGTATGTACGCGAGCAAGTTTAGAGTACATTTGTGTGTGTGTACATGTACATTCGCAGATGAACTTGTGTCACCAAACCCACCTTCCATGTGCGACCCCCGTTATTATACAAGGCCCATACCAACAGCCCGTAATGGGAGAAATACGTACATGTGGGGACCTAAGGGTTATATACCTAGCTGCCTAGGTACCTAGTTTAGTTTCTCTACAGCCCCGCATGGCTTTGTTTCAACCTAATGAGCTACATACGAAAAAATCTTTCCGCCTTTTCATCAAGGACACATTTGGGAAATATTGTATCCATTGTATCCATTGTATCCATTGTATCCATTGTATCCATTGTGTACGCGAACTACGTTCTCAAGACTTGTGGTACGATTCCAAACGGCAGGGACGTCACTTAGTGTAGATGCCTTGGCAAATTGCTTCGAGAATGATTCCCTTCCCACAGCCACAAAAGCTAAGGCATGTTTCTCATCAAATCCCCTAACTCGGGACAACGCTCCGGTTCTTAGGCGGCGGTGCATACCTTGGGTATATACTATATCTGGGTAAGACAGCCAGCTAGGCTGCTAGGCCGCTAGGTTCTTAGAGTTTATGTACATGCTACAAGTACGTATCTACTCCGGGCTACTGACGCCGACTGGGCGGGCGGGCATCCACTACGTTGCAGTAGTTGCTCATTTAGTCAACCCACTTCCACAACCCGTAATATCTACCCAGGTACCTAGGCAGCTAGGTATGTAACTCTTAAAATATTGCTACTCCGTATGTTAGCATAAACATTATTCGAATTTACATACCTAAAATATTTATGACATCTACCCGCACTTACAACTTCATCACTGCTATTCAACTATATCGACCTTGTCGCCAATTTCAATAAGCGCCTGTGTGTGACACCTAACACACTTTAGGAATGTCTACCTCAACCGTACCAGGTTTATTTGCGATAGAAATGCTACCTCTCTCACTCAGTCTTGTTGCAGTTGTATTCGTCTACCTATCCGATCAATTTCCCAAATAAAACATCAATGCGAGTCAAACGTGCGCGTGTTGCATCTCGAATGGCCACCTAAGTTAGCAGGGCGTCTTAGCGTTTCCAAATACGTTCGGATATGCAAGGCAGCACATATACACTTACATATATTCCCTTCAAGCTTCAGCCCCAAGATTTCCCGAGATCTTTGAGCATCATGTCGGAAGGAGAATTCCGGATCCTCGGCGGACCTGTCGTGCTGTCGGCGCTACAGCGCGCGCTGCTTCCCTCCCTAGCAAAAGGACCGGCGGCCGTAAATGCAGCCTGCTCGGTAGATCGACTCGGATAGGTACCGGGACGAAACAAGCAAGAAAAACCACGCTATAGCTTTGGTGTCTCACTTTTTGGCACCCATCTAATATTTATTTCAAGCACCTTTCAGCCTCGCGGATTGTAGCATGTCATATATACTAGCTGATCGTTGTTTCCATCAACTAGAAACTTGATCAGACCTAGAGAGGGGATCACAATAATATGCTGTAGCTCCTCTACCACTGCCACCGCCACTACCAGCAGCTCCCCCGCCGAATCTTAGGCATTAAAACACCTGTGTCCATATACGAATAATCTCCCCCATACCTAGGTAGTTATCCTACCACCTTTTTACGCCTGAATCCGTGTATGACGCCACTATTGTAGTGGAGTAAGAGGGTCTCGACTCGTGGAGGAAATTTCCTATCAAATAGGTTGAACTGCCCACATGTGATGCTGAAATGAGCATGATGCTGTATGAACTGATGCCACAAGGCTCCACATGACTGCGAACTACTGGGTGAGCCTTGAGGCATTTTGGGTCGTCACGTTTTGTTCCTTGAGCTTCGAAGTATCTGATATAGACCAGATCGCAGGGATACGAGGGGGGCGTCCTTCCAAATGGGCCAATTACAAGAGATCGGGAAGAAGAGATTCGGCTATGTCACACATGCGCACATACACCCCATAGTACATCATGAGCAGGCAGGTGGCAGTAGGTGAGTAATTTGAGCGTTAGCATTGTTATCGCTTTTTTTTTTTTTTTCCTTTCTCTCTCTCTCTAAATCGACATCCCTGGAGTCAAAGCGATCTGCTGAGATATGGGAAGCTTGCCGTCGCATTCAGCTACATATACACAATTTATTCTTATTATTGCTTATAAAAACGGTTGGTTACATATTTCTTTCTAACTACAGGGCTCGCAAACCTATGTAAATTGGCTTATATCTAAGATTGTCAATCGTACTTGTATACATACCTATCGACAGGCTTGACCCTTAATAATATAGACAATTTCCGATATTAATGCAGATTCGTCAAGCGGCAAGGCCGCAGCTTGCATCTTCAAACACCGTGGCGGCGTAGAATACGCACGCGTATGTACCTAGGTACTTAGTTCTCGGCTAGAGCTGATGCTGCCGGAGGAAACCGAGGGGCTTGTGCGCTTACGAACTGCATGAAGAGGCTCAAATGTATACTGTATGAATTTATTCATGTACGGAAATTTGCTTCTTGTTATCTATCTCCCCCTCATCACTGTTGCAGTCGCAATACCCAGGTCATTGTAGTATTGGTGTGCTGACGATTCTTTTCGAGATCAATGTCACTTATCAAACCAGCTATAGTCGATCTAAGCACAGAGCCCTGCATGAATGGAAGCAATATAATGATATCACGGGTTCATACATATATGAAATAATCCAGAGATGGAATCCTGAGACCGGGTCTTTTTTCGGAGATTTAAGCTGTATGTTGGTAAAAGTAGGTAATAATAAGACCGACTTAGAGTTATAGATTTCCAAATTTTGGTTTGTATGGAAGTCCAAATGGTGCGCATGGTTGGCTAGATCGGCTCTTTTTGGGCTTGACCCGGTTTATTTAAATGCCGAAGTCTTAGTAACGATACCATTTTTGATAACATATACACAACTTAGATATTTAGATAAGATGTTAATTGTTCTTTATAATATCTTATTAAGTAGTAAAAGATACATGTATATAATAAGTGATTGTAATATTAATTCTTATTATTTAATGTTATAAGAAATAAATCTTAAAGTCAGTTCTTATTACCATAAATATCATTAACCTATTTAAGTATGATCAATACTTATTATCTAACCCCATATAGCTAAGTTTATCTACAAGAGTCGAAACATGCGTACCTATAATGTGAACTACTTAGGTACTTTGTTCCGTTCCATTTTCTGGATGATACTACATAACTGAGGTCAAAGTCAATGATAATTATATACAATTAACATAAGACACATATATACAACGA